GAGGAGGAGAACGAGGAGGAGGAGGAGGAGGAGAAGGAGAGGGGAGGAGAGGGAGCAGGAGGAGGAAGTGGAGGAGGAGAAGGAGGAGGAGGAGGGGCCGGACGAGAACATCCCTGGGACCACTGCTCAAGGTAACATGCACGTGTAACCCCAACGGGCGGTTCGGGTCGGGCGGGCGGATCGGGCGGGCGGGACATTAAAGAATGGCACGTGCTCGCAAAAACACGCTCACATAACCCCAACGGGCGGTTCGGGTCGGGCGAGCGGGTAGAGCGGGCGGAACATTCAAGTATGACGCGGGCTAGAAAAAAAACACGCACGCGTAACCCTAAGGGGCGAGTCGGATCGGGCGGCCAGACCGTCCAAGGTCCCAGAGGAGCCCGAATGGCGAATGAGCGCACGGTTGACCCGAAAAGCCCGAACAGACCGAAAAGCCCGCCGCTGGAAACATCCTCGCAACTCTAACGCCGCCGCTGGAGACATCCTCGCAACTCTGGCCAGCGCAGCCCGAGTAGCCCGAATAGCCCGAATGGGGGCCCCGGTTGACCCGAAAAGCCTGAAAAAGGCCGAAAAGCCCGCCGCTCGAGACATCCTCGCAACTCGGGCTTTTCGGGCTTTTCGGGCTTTTCTCTGGCTTTTCGGGCTTTTCGGGCTTTTCGGACTTTTCGGGTCAACCGGATTAGCCCGAAAAGCCCGAAAAGCCCGAAAAGCCCGCCGCTAGAGACATCCTCGCAACTCTGGCGCCGCCGCTGGAGACATCCTCGCAACTCTGGCCAGCGAAGCCCGAAAAGCCCGAGTAGCCCGAAAAACCCGAAAAGCCCGAAAAGCTCGCCGCTCGAGACATCGTCGCAACTCTGGCGCTGCGGCTCGAGACATACTCGCAACTCTGGCCAGCGTAACCCGAGTAGCCCGAATAACCCAAATGGGCGCACGGTAGACCCGAAAAGCCCGAGAAACCCGAAAAGCTCGCCACTCGAGACATCTTCGCAAGTCGGGCGCTGTCGCTCGAGACATCCTCGCAACTCAAGCTTTTCGGGCTTCTCTGGTTTTCCAGGCTTTTCGGGCTTTTCGGGCTTTTCGGGCTATTCGGGTCAACCCACTTTTCAAACACCCCCGGCCGACGCAATGCATTATCTGGTTTCTCCTCCTCCTCCTCCTCCTCCTCCGCCTCCTCGTCTTCCTGCTCCTCCTCCTCATCATCATCATCATCATCCTCCTCCTCCTCCTCCTCCTCCTCCACCTCCTCCTTCTCCTCCGCCTCCTCCTCCGCCTCAACCTCCTCCTCATCCTCCTCCTCCTCCGCCTCCTCCTCCTCCTCCTCCTCCGCCTCCTCGTCCTTCTCCTCATCCGCCTCCTCCGCGCCCGCCTCCGCCTCCGCCTCCGCCCCTTCCGTTTCCTCCTCATCAGTATCCTCCTCCTCCTCCTCCTCCTCCTCCTCCTCCTCCTCCTCCTCCTCCTCCTCCTCCTCCGCCTACGTACTCTCTCCTCCTCAACTCTTCCTCTCCTCTTCCTGCTCCTCCTCCTCATCATCCTCCTCCTCATCCTCATCCTTATCCTCACCATCCTCATCATCCTCATCATCATCATCATCATCATCATCATCATCATCATCATCATCATCATCATCATCATCATCATCATCATCATCATCATCCTCATCATCCTCATCATCATCAACATCATCAACATCATCATCATCATCATAATCAGCATCATCATCATCAGTATCAGCATCATCATCATCATCATCATCATCAGCATCAGCATCATCATCATCATCGTCATCATCGTCATCATCATCATCGTCATCATCATCATCATCAGCATCATCATCATCAGCATCATCATCACCACCACCCACCTTCACCACCACCACCATCGCCACCACCACCATTATCATCATCATCATCATCATCATCATCATCATCATCATCATCATCATCAGCCATCATCATCATCATCATCATCATCATCATCATCATCATCATCGTCGTCATCGTCATCGTCATCACCATCATCATCATCAGCAGCAGCATCATCAGCATCAGCATCAGCATCATTATCATCATCAGCATCAGCATCAGCATCATCATCATCATCATCAACAGCATCATCATCATATTCATCAGTAGCAGCATCATCATAATCAACAGCATCAGCATTGTCAGCAGCATCGTCATCAGCATGATCATCATCAGCAGCATCGTCGTCAGCGTCATCATAATCATCATCATCATCATCATCATCAGCATCATCATCATCAGCATCATGAGCATTATCATCATCATCAGCAGCAGCATCAGCATCATCATCATCAGCAGCAGCATCCTCATTAGTAACAGCGTCATCATCATCATCACCATCATCATCATATCATCATCATCATCATCATCATCATCATCATCAGATTCAGCATCAGCTCCAACATCAGCAGCATCAGCATGAGCAACAACATCAACATCAGCATGACCATCGATATCAGCATCACCATCAGCATGATCATCATTATCATCAGCATCGTCATCATCATCCGCATCATCATCAGCGTCAGCAGCAGCATCATCATCATCAGCATCATCAGCGTCATGATCATCATCAGCAGCAGCATCATAACCATCATCATCATCATCATCATCATCATCATCACCATCATCATCATCATCATCATCATAGTCATCGTCATCGTCATCGTCCTCGTCATCACCATCATCATCGTCAGCAGCATCAGCAGCAGCAGTATCAGCATCATTATCAGCATCATGATCATCATCATCATCATCATCATCATCATCAGCATCATCATCATCAGCATCAGCATCATCATCAGCATCATCATCAGCTTCAGCATCAGCATTAGCATCATTATCATCATCATTAGCAGCAGCAGCATCATCATCAGCATCAGCATCAGCATTAGCACCATCATCATCATGAGCATTATCATCATCATCAGCAGCAGCTTCAGCATCATCATCATCAGCAATCAGCATCATCATCATCAGCAGCATCATCATCATCATCATCATCATCGTCATCATCATCAGCATCGTCATCATCAGCATCGACCACATCATCAGCATCGTTATCAACATCAGCATCATCATCGTCAGCTTCATCATCATCATCAGCAGCATCACCATCATCAGCAACACCATCATCATCAGCATCATCATCATCAGCATCACCATCAGCATCATCATCAACATCATCACCATCAATCATCATCATCATCATCATCATCATCATCATCATCATCATCATCATCATCATCATCATCGGCAGAAGCAGCATCGGCAACATCATCAGCATCATCAGCATCAGCATCAGCATCACCGTCACCATCAGCATCATTATCATCACCATCATCATCATCATCATCAGCATCATCTGCATCAACAGCAGCGTCAGCAGCATCATCATCAGCATCATCAGCAGCCACATCACCAGCATCATCATCATCAACAACAGCAGCCGTGGCAACAGCATCATCATCAGCAGCAGCAGCATCATCAGCATCATCATCAGCATCATCAACAGCATGACCATCATCATCATCAGCAGCAGCATCATCAGCATCATATTCATCATCATCAGCATCAGCAGCAGCATCATCATCGTCAGCAGCATCGGCATCAGCAGCAGCATCAGCATCGTCATCAACAACAACGTCAACATCATGAGCATCATCAGCAGCAGCATCAGCATCAGCATCAGCATCAGCATCAGCATCAACATCGTCATCATCATATTCATCATCTGTGTCATCCGCAGCATCATCATTATCATCATCAGCAGCAGCATCATCATCAGCAGCATCCTCCTCTTCCGCCTCCGCCTCCCCATCTCCTCCTCCTCCTCCTCATCAGCCTCCTCCGCCCCATCCTCATCATCATCCTCATGTTCCTCCTCAGCTTCATACTTCCCCTTCTCATCATCCTCCTCCGCGTCCTCCTCCTCTTCCTTCTCCTCCTGCTCCTCCTCCCCCTCCTCCTCCGCCTCCTCCTCGTCCTCCTCCTCCTCCTCCTCCTCCTCCTCATCCGCCTCCTCCTCCTCATCCTCCTCCTCATCCTCTTCCTCATCCCCCCC